CCAAGGATGATTCGCGAGGCTATTGAAATTAAAAAACATCCTAATTTCAATAGAGAAGATGGATGGGTGCTGCCATCTGCTTGGGATCCCATAATTAATAAAATCAAATCCAAACCCAAGTATACCACTGCTAGACTTCAAGATACTGTAAGCTCATTCTGCGTAAATCGAACCAAAAATTAATATTAAAAAACTGAAGGTAGCCGGGCTAACTATGACAGCAGGACGTCAAACAACTCAGTCCCCCGTGACCACGGGTGCTGGAAAGCACCCGAAACGTCGGGAATATAAAAATAAGTTAAAAATAAGTTAATATACGCGATAAAATCCGTAAAATTAGTTTTATTTAAAAAAAGGTAGTTTTAGTAAAAAAAAGTAATATACACTCTACCTAGGACCAAACACAAGCTAGTTCGGTAATTTATTCTGGAGTCAATGTATATGCTATTACAACAAACTCCTAGAAAACATACAAGCTCTCTATACTTACTAAGTTTAAATATTTTATTAAATTAAAACTGTATAAAGAGGGTTATTATAATATAAATGAATACATGGTTGAAAAGAACCCCGTGGTCGCTTCCAAGCTGTTTCTAAAATACATAGGCTGCACTAAAAGTATCGGGAATGGAATATTTCCTCTGTTCCTGTCATATTAAAATCTTTTTAATTAAAAACTCCTTAGTTTTAAAAATCGAATACCATTTATTTATTTAAAAAAAGATTCTCGGTCTTGTCACAAGGCTTTGTCAAACTTGTTTAGTTGTTGAGAAAATGGAATTGACTTGAGCAAATTCAAGAGCGATGATCTATTATGATTTTCGAAGTGGTTTAACACAAAAACAGTGTGTTGACCGGATGATTTCTGCATTTGGTGATGAAGCCTCATCCAAAACCACAATTTATCGCTGGTTTATTGAATTTCAACGTGGACGTGTCAAGCTCAGTGATGATCCCCGTCAAGGTCGTCCAAAAACTGCAGTCACCCAAGAAAACGTTGATGCTGTGCGTAAGCTGATTGAGGAAGATCGACATGTGACATACCGCGAAATTCAGGCAACTTTAGACATTGGCATGAGTCAAATACAAATAATCTTGCATGAACAATTAGGTGTAAAAAAGTTGTTTTCCCGATGGATACCGCATTCGCTCTGTGAAGAGCAAAAAGCGGCTCGCGTTACTTGGTGCGTCAGAACTCTCGAAAGATTCCACGCAGGATCCTGAAATGCTGTATACAACATCGTATCAGGTGACGAATCCTGGATATACGCGTACGAACCCGAAACAAAAAACCAGTCACGAGTTTGGGTGTATGAAAATGAGTTAAAGCCAACAAAAATTGTTCGTTTACGAAGAGTTGCAAAAAAAATGGTGGCCACGTTTGTCTCCAAAACCGGCCATGTTACGACTATTCCTCTTGAGGGACAAAGAACGGTTAATGCAGAATGGTATGCTAGCATTTGTTTGCCACAGGTTGTTTCTGAACTCCGTAAAGAGAACTGCAACCGCCGCATCATCCTCTATCACGACAATGCGAGTTCTCACACCGCACACAGAACAAAAGAGTTTTTAGAGCAAGAAAACATAGAATTATTAGACCATCCGCCGTACAGCCCCGACCTAAGCCCTAATGGTTTCTATACTTTCATTTCATTATTTTCATCACCTGAAGAAGCTGTGGACGCCTACAAAACGGCCATGTTGGAGACCCTAACTTCCGAATGGAATGGTTGCTTCAATGATTGGTTCCATCGTATTGGTTGATTTGGAAAAATGTGTCAAATTTCGCGGAGAATACTTCGAAAAGCAATAAATATATTTTTGAATAGTAATGTTGTGTCACTTCCTTGATTCCCAAAATTTTCGGTGCCGCCCTCGTAATTTTTGTGAATAGTTACAAACTATTCACACAACCATTCATGTAAAATTTACTTTAAAAAAAAGTCCTGCCTGGTTTCTTGCTGGACTGTGGGCTTTTTTCGAATCAGTGGTAAACTAAAAAATTACTTTCAATAAGAATTACACATGTGATCCTTATTGGATAAAAAAATATTCTATTCTATCCTAAATTATTCTATCCTATTCTTCTTATTTCAATAATTATGACTTTTAACAATTTTGTATTATAACTAAAATAATGTAATGTTATTTTAAACTGTTAAAAAGCAACATTTTATGACGAAAACAACGTATGCATTACTACTTTAGCTTTACTTTTCATTTCAGGGATAGGCATGGAGGTTCTTACTTATTTACTACGTTCACTTATTTTTTAGTTGGTAGTTATTACAGGTCTCATTTGAAGTATTGATACAATCATATAGCCTCACGCAGTTTCATTTGTTACACTCTTGGCTAATCAGTCGAACTCAGGATAATAAGTTAATTTAAGGCAGTGGTGGTTTACGTGAAAGTTTGTTATGGTCATATTTTATCCTATATATTCCCGGCAGTGCAACCATCTTAGGGTATATAGGTAGATAGTCAACTATGATCATCTGTGTGCCTTGGCATTTGAATGATTTGGTGTAAATTGTATTATTTTCAAAATCGAAAAGATTTTTAATCTTTTGAATACCACTCCCTATAAGTCTGATTTGAAAATATGTCCTTCAGTTACCATCTTCTTATACAGCCCCCATTTTAGTTGTTATAGTGGTCAAACAGCTAACTCACTTATTATGCTCATTATCAAGAAAGCCCACGTATTGTTACCGTCAGCTATGGAACCCTACCTCTACATTGTGTATGGCCCTCATGACATGCACTTGGCCAGTTTTTTTAGTTTGTCATAGAACGTGTTTCAGTTACCACTGGGTGTATCATTTTTTATTTGTTACTTATAACATTTACTTCATATTATAAATATTAAAAAAAGACAAAAAAAATTGAACACTAAAAGTAATAACACTTAACTTAAAACTTAAGAAAAATTACTTTTGACAAAAGAAAATTTAGCTATTATATGTCAAAGAAATAAATATATTTAATTCCTTTAAATAAAACTAATTTTACGGATTTTATCGCGTATATTAACTTATTTTATATTCCCGACGTTTCAAGCACTTTACAGCACCCATGGTCACGGGGAGGACTGAGGTGTATGACGTCCCAATGTCATAGTTAACCATGGCTACCTCCAGATTAAAAATTATTAATTTTTGTTCTAATCTACGCAGTATGAACTTACAGTATCTTGAAGTCTTGCAGTTGTATGCTTGGGTTGGGATTTAATTTTATTAATTATGGGATCCCAAGCAGATGGTAGCACCCAGCCATCTTCTCTATTGAAATTAGGATGTTTTTTGATTTCAATAGCCTTGTGAATCATCCTTGGACGGATTTGTGGTCTATCAAATCTAATGTAGTGATGGAGGTGATCCTGTAGGTGTTCACAGGCTGCAGACTTAATATACGCGATAAAATCCGTAAAATTAGTTTTATTTAAATGTGTAGTGTTTGCGTAAATATAAGAAATCATTATATTTAATTACTATTTAACTGAAAAACATCATCATCATCATTACAAAATATTGTAAGTCCACTGCTAAATATAGGTCTACCCCGAGAATGCAATCAAGAACATCAATGCAGCCAAATTTACTCAATAAAATATTGTCAAAAGTAGAATTACAGTATTATTGATATAACTGTAAATTTCAATTATCATGAGAGTATATGTATTATATGAAATAAAGTTTTATTCTTTTGTGAAAAAATAATCCGCCCAATTGGTTTACCAATTGTGGAGATATCATACATAACATATATACAAACATATGTTACAACTAAAAGCCGAAGTGCTGATACACCTACGTTTGGTCGGCTAAAGTGTTTAAACTTAGGTGTATCATATATAACACTAGCGTTTTTGCACGAACTGCACTTAAACTTACTGTCTCAGATATCATTGATATGTATTTCCGTATTTTTACAAATTTAACAGTACACTTACGTTTAACCAACCACAATCGGCTGCACCTATTAGTAGCCGGCTAAACCTAGGTTTATCCACACTTCTTGGCCTTTAGTCGTTACATATACATACATTAGAAAAAAATAAATATGGTTAATTGATTACCTCCTCCTTTTTTTAAGTAAGTTAAAGATAGTGGATAAACAGTTTATACTGAAGTATATAAAACATAATTGACTTATTGTCACATTGCATTATGTTGCTCTCCTTGAATGTTTACAGTATCACAGTATTTGCTTCATAAACATTCTTGTGTAATGAGTAAGTAATTATTTGTCATGTAGTGGCCACTAAATGCCACTACCCCATTCCAATCCGTCAGTATCATAAGAGATGATGGAGGGAAACTGAACAAGGAGATGTGCAGCAGCATCTTCATGATATTATCTGATAAAAAATAAACAAACTGGTTGGCAAATACAGTTTGCCGTTTGCAGTTGATAGCATGTGAAATATCCCCCCTACATAATCTATAGGAGATCAATGTTCAGCATTGGACTTTGAAGGGTTGTAATGATGATGAGGTCAAACTGGTGTATTCCTGGAGAGACCCTTTTCAGCATTAGATATATCCTTTATTTCTGAAGGAAAAACCAAGAACCCAACTACCGTGATCTATTTAAATTACCTAAGATATGGCACATTCGTCAGAATAGGCTTCAACTAAGCAGCCAGCTGCGTGGTGATGTGGGACTCGCTATGAAGTGCCTACCCACTAAATACCACCTGTGGGACTGGCTTTGGCCTGTATGGCTTTTCTGCCGAATCGGAAGCGACCCCCTTTAGGGAGGGGGGGCGCAGTGCTTCGTAATGTCCCAGAATCCATTTTATAGTGCACCTTATTTGTTTCTTCGCCTTTCTTCATTTCGTTAAAAAAGCAACATTTAAGACAAGGCATTACCGCAAACTATATAGTTATGAATATAGTATTATTCGAATCTGCCTTTCGAATTCTGTGTTTAATTGGTATATTTTTAATAGGTAACTAAATTCATCAGCATAATTCCATTTACAGATTGGCAGCATGGCGGAAATAGTGTACCCGCAAGGCTGCCGACCTATCACCGATGACCTTGGACCTGATGAGCTGGTTCGAAGACTAAAGGTAGGTTTTTAAAGAAAATTCCATGCTTAATGATATAAGTTATAGTTACAGTATTTATGGAAAATACTTTATTTATCACTTCTATATAAAAAGCGCTCCGTAAGTCAGTATTGTGTTGTTCTCCGGAGAAGTGCTGCTAAATCAATATTGATACTATGGGAATAAGCTTAGCGTCACCTGGTTAAGGTGATTCATATTAAGAAACTTCTTTGGAAATCCCATCATCATCATCAAATAAATAAAATTGAAGTATCTGTTTGTGATGTTAAAATAACAGCTTTTTACTAAACATATATGAAAATTTATATAGTAGGTACTTATGACAAAAACACAATTTTTAAAATTTCTGTCTGGCTGTTTGTTTTGGCTAATCTCCGAAGTGGCTGGACTGATTCTGACGGGATTTTCACTGGCAGATAGCTGATGTTGGGAGTTAGCATGTTCAAAAGTCAAAAACAAGAATTTAGTTTTAAAATCTTTAAAAAGATATTTCTTAATAACCAATCACAGCGCGAGGAGCTTAGGCCCCCATCCGGTGTCGGCATGCTTCGATAAGCTCTCTTTCTCGCACTTATGGTTACGCATAAGACTTTTTTTTTCGTATTCATTTGTAAACTGGGCGGCGGTAGTCACTTACCATCAGGTGAGCCGCATGCTCGTTTGCCCCCTCTCCAATAAAAAAAAAAAAAAACTTTATTCAGGTCTGGGAATTGTTTAAAACCGCTAAATTCGTCTAGCGATTTGCAGGTATTATTAAAAATTACTCAATAAATACGTGATTAAAATTCGAGATTGCCAAAAGTATATTCTTTGGGAATTAAAAAAAAATATTTTTGAAGAGGTCTGGTAATACTTTATAAGCGACAAAAACGTCTCGGATTATTTTTATGGAATAATTCCAGTAATTCCAATTTTAAAAACTAAATTAAAAGATAAAAAGAAATCAAGTTGCCACAAAAACATTTTTTTGGATTGTTTTTTGCAAATGTTATATGCTGCGCAGTAACGAAATAACCGCAAACGCTCTGCCAGACTCGCGGGCCTAGACACCCAAAGGACCTTCCCAAAATTCGTCGCCAGCTCTCAGATATTACATAAATATAGTCATGTCTATTTAAATATAGTCCATACATATATAACTCTTGTATGTATTGTTCTTAACAGTCTGTATAAGTTCACTCCAGAGCATAGGACTCCCCACAAAGATTGCCTCATTGTGAGGATTTTGTCATAATTGCCATGTTTGGCAGACGGGTCGGCAACCGCAGTTTTTATATTATTTTGAGTTGCTATCCAGAAGATATTGCTGTAAAGTTTCCCTCTGTCGCCACTTACGACATCCATTGTTGTATGTCTTAACAATTGTTAAAATATATTATGTAAATGGCTGATGGCTCTGAATTATGATGAAACCGAATTAATTGTTGTTAGTGCTTCACAACGCTTATGATAATATTTTAAATATTAAATTCTGATATGAAACTCTATAGTGAATGTATCTCACTTATATTTGACATCACTTTAAAATATTTGTAACATTAACAATGAACATATATATATATATACCTATCATATTACATGTAAATACTATAATATTTATATGTAACTAAAAATATACACTCATTAGCTCAACAAATTTTTATTCATCCTTATTATATTTACCTATTTCATATTTTATCAATTTAAAGTGTAATGCAATTTATCTTAATGATATTTCGAAACAACATATTCTCATGCTATTTTTGTAAAGAATCTTGTTAGTGAACAAAAGGGTTTACTAATTTTTCTGTTATTTGTAAGTTAATTTAATTTTAAGTAAATTAAGTATTTTTTTTAATTTTAATTATAATGTAAACTGTAATCCGTTTGCATCCAGTAATCAAATTAAATAAATAGTACCTACTTTCATTGACACACATTGTATACAAAGGATAAAATGGAATTAACCAATTCCTATTAAATAATTTTTATTTATTATTTTTAAATAAGTGTGTTCAAATCGCTCTGCTATTTACTTGCGCAACTTACGGAGTTGTAAGGGTCGCGGAGGGGATTGGAACGCTGTTAACTATCAGATTTCCTACGTAATTTCGCTTCGGCTGCGAGGGGCAGGATATTACTATGATGATGAAATTATCTTGCATCAATTTACACATTGAGACGAAAATTTTCCTGGTGAGCTGGGTACATTAAAATAGTTGCACTTGAAATCTCAACTTGTCTCTTCTTTTGCTCTTCGGTTATCATTTTCGACACCCAATAGACGGAGCCTTTTTTTTATATGCAGCTCGTTTCAAACGACTTAAAAAGGCTTCTATATGAGATCTGCTTGAACTCGGCTAAATGTCTAACGGTTTTACTTTGTCTTGTTGAGGGATGTCAATATTGATCATCACTATGGCGATTTTTGATGGATGTTCTGTCCAGCTTAAACTGTTTGAATCTGCGCGCAATTGTGAGATATGAGGAAACAGTTCCCCAGTGTTTCCACCAAGTCGTCATATGTAGATATTTTTTTCAAACATTAGTACCTACTTCATGATGCGAGTTAGTGATGTATAAAATTATATGTTGGTTTCTGACATCACCCGATTACCGTAGGTGACCATTCCATTACATCCTATAAAAGTGCAACGCTGAACATAGGCATAGATCCCGCGCTTGCCAAGCGGGTTAGCAGCACAGTTTTTTTATTATTTTGAGAAAGTTGCCGCTACCCAGTACCTACTTCATTTTCCCTCTGTCCTCTCTTACGACACCCACGGAACGAATGGGGTGGTATCTATTGTCACAATGCAACTACGTAGTACCAATCCATGGTAACAACATCTTGGTAAGGTGGTGGAATCAATTAGGGGGAGTACATTATCCCATGCGCTGTTAAGTTCGTTCCCATTGATACGAGAGTAGTTGAGAAGTTTAATCGATAACACAAGAAATCAATGCTTATGTTTAATTAATCATTTCTTATTTCTATTATGAGACTGATACCTAAAATAAAAAGTAAAGTAACATCGTAACAGCCTATTATGCGCCCCACTGCTAGGCACACAGAGCTTTGTTTATTTGTGAGAGGGATTTCGGGTTAGCCTTACAATTTTTTACCGATACATCGAAAAACTTTTACAAGCTACATACTTGATTTTTTAACCGACTTTAGAAAGGAGGAGGTTATCCATACGAGTGTATGTTTTTTTGTATGTATGTTATGCGATATGTTCGCATATTGTGAACCAATTTTGATGATACTATTTTTATTAAATACTTCAAGGGTCCTTAACCCATATAAACTTAGAGAAAAAATTCATCAATAGGTAGCAAATAAAGTCGGCTTTTACTTTTTGTTAAAAGTTAGTTTATTTCTTTAGAAGTATGGGTAACAAATGGGCAAACGTTCACTTGGATGCTGTCGTCCATAGACTCTCTAAGGCGCTGCGCAAACATTGACCCTTTTTGGTACCGACACGGCACACCATCACAGGAAACATTAGTTGGTGTGTCCGGTAGCCGGCAATCTCACACAGTCGCCGGTTGCTTCTTCTGGTCACTGGTAACAATTCGTTGCTTGTTTTCCGTCAGTTTCATCTTGGATGTCGATGGAGGAATACCTTTGCTTGTTGTGTTGATTACACGTTGACGTAGACGACGTCGCCGTCTATATTTACAGACAAATCAACCACGCCAATGTCAGCGCCGCACAATTGTAAGGAAATTTGCTTTGTGTTGCTTGCGTCTACAACTGACGACTTAAGGCTTTAACTAGCCTGAATGACCTTGACGAAACGGCAATCGCAGAGGTTTTAGCCGACGTCAACACCGTCACACTACGTCACACAAGCAACTACATTCTGTATTACTTATAAAAGTGCAAAGATTAATAGACTGCAGAGATTACAATTATATAAGTGACATACTGCCTGTTATGCTTGCGCATCACTGAGAATTATGTCGCGGTTACGCATCTTCAATTATATTGTGATGTAGCTTTGTCCGGTAGGCGTCATGAGCTATCAAGTGTGTCAAGTTTCAAGTACGTAAGAGTTTTTTATTATATATGTTAAATCGTTTTTATTTGTATCGTATTAGTAGATCTGGGTCAAAGCGTTCGCTGTAAATTTTCCCGGGTTTGATCCCCGATAGCACGAATGAAATTTGTAATTGCAATTTTCGTCAACATCAACATTGGGGAATCACGGCGGGCATTCCCTTGCCCTAAAACCCTCTCATAAATAAAAAAAGAGCCCTGTATCCAGTAGAGGGCCTTGTATAGCCTATTACTTTACTTTGTAGCAATATTTATATTCGTTTCAGATATAGAAGGGTACCTTATGCTGACAAAAATATCATTTGGAGGCGATGAAAACGTAAAACATCTTTGTACCTAGATAAAACGTTCGAAAGATTGTCAGTCATGTCATACGCCACATTTTCTATAGAGCGTAGAACATTACAGATAGGGCAAAATAAAAAATAATCCAAAATATTATGGGAACTATTTATTTATAATATATACATTTATAGGTATTTATAATAAAAGTAATGAACAAGCTGCAAGGTTCAACTAATAATGCTTTTTGTAAACACAATTGTAACATTCCTGTTTTAATTTTTACCAAAGGTTTATTGATGAAACGTAGTCAAGATCACTTCATATAAAATATATTTAATTAAAATGGACACATGACCTATTTGGCCTTCTACTTACAACTCGGCGGAAATTTGAAAAGAAGATTTTGTCTTTTCACACAAGTATTGTTTACAACTGGCGTGGTTTCGAAAAGCGTGATTAAATGTAATCAATTAAATACTGAATTTTTTGAAATTTATTTTTTGTTTATTTTTGTTATATCTTCTTAAAAACTGACGCCATCTCACTATTTTATTATTTGTTTTTTTTTGTGACGCATAAGGATAAGTTAGACTAAGTTAGATTAACTTGGATAAGTTTATAATTTTTTTAAATTTATCACAAAATTTCCACAATATATTATTACCTTTTC